TTTTATATTTTTTATTTAGAGAGAGGGTCTCACTGAGTTGCTAAGGGCCTCGCTAAGTTGCTGAGGCTGAGTTTGAACTTGCAATCCTCCTGCCTCAGCCTCCCAAGCCACTGTGATTACAGGCATGTGCCATCATAACCAGCTAGCCCTTTTTTGGAGGGTGTGGGGGGGTACTGGGGATTGAATGCAGGGGCACTTAACCACTGAGCTACATCTCCAGCCCTATTTTATATTTTATTTAGAGACAGGGTCTCACTGATTTGCTTAGTGCCTCACTTTTTCTGAGGCTGGCTTTGAACTCGTGATCCTCCTGTCTCAGCCTCCTGAGTCACTGGGATTACAAGCTTTTGCCACCATGTTCGGCCCAGTTAGCCCTTTATATTCTTTGATTTTGAGATAGGGTTTCACTAAGTTGCCCAGGCTGACCTAGAACTTGAGATCTTCCTGCCTCAGCCTCCTGAGTAGCTGGAATTACAGGCATGTGGCCACTGTACCCTGCTAGCCTAGGAGTTTTTGTTTGGTTTGGTACCAGAGATTGAACCCAGAGGTGCTTAACCATTTAGCCACATCCCCAGCACTTTTTATTTTGAGACAGGGTGTCACTAAGATGCTTACTAAATTGCTGAGACTGGCTTTGAACTCAATCCTCTTGCCTCAGACTCCCAAGTTGTGGGATTACAGGCATACCCCACCATGACCAGCCAGCCCAGGAATTCTGAAGGAGAATTCTTGTGATCCTGATGACCTAGAAAACCATCCATTCCCTTTCTTTAGGACATCTTTAGAAATCTGAGGTGTTCTACTGTCCCTTAACAGTGAAGAACAGCTATACCAGCCTGTCAAACTCCTGCTTGGTTTCAGGTCTGTGGTCCTTCCCGCACCAATCCTAGCATTGTGATTGATGACCTCCTGACCCCATGCTCTCCAGGGGACCCAGGGGCCATAGAGATGACTTGGATGGATGTTCCTAGTGACAAACTCTTAGAGCCTGTGGTTTGCATGGTAAGTAAACAGCTGGGAGAGGGGACTCTATAGAACCCAGAAAATTAGGGGCCTGGGTCCAAGAAGAAAAATGAACTTCTTTCCTTCCATAGCCTGAGCTATCATGGCTCCTCTGAAACGGTGATCTTTGTAGCTTTGGGTTGCTGAGGATCTTGCTGTGACTCAAGGGGAGCAGAGGCTATATATCCTACTAAAGTATATAAAGTATATATAAAGTTTATATACTTTAGTAGAAAGAGTAAAGTTTAGATAATGTAACTGTCATTCCAGAGGTTTGGCTTAATTGGTCCAGAAGAAACCAGAAAAAGTATGTCAGCAAGGTTTCATTTAATGCAGTGGCAGAGGCAGAGGCAGCCTCTCACCCAGGTAGTGTGGCCCTATCCATCTCCTAGTCTTGCCAGTCGCAGTGCTCATTCTATCCTAGTGTGATGGGCAAAAAATTAAAAAATGGGAGTTATGATAGGATGGAGCCTTGATTCATTCAGATTAGACCTCTGGAAATGATATGTGCTGCCTCACTATGCTGCCTGTCACAGGCTGATTCTAGTTTAGCAACTGTAGGGAGTTCTGCACTGGGCAATGACCTTGCTACCCTAGATGGCATAGCTGTGCAAGGAGGGAGGCCTAGCATCTGGAGCCTGGCTGCTTCTCAGCAGTATGCTCTTGTCTTTACAGTCGGACATGCTCCGGTCTTTGGCCACCACCCGGCCCACGGTGAATGCAGATGACCTCCTGAAAGTGAAGAAATTCTCAGAGGACTTTGGACAGGAGAGTTAAAAGCTTCTTCACATGGGTGAAGGTGAAGGTGGGAGGTTGATTGGGGCACATCTACGGTACTCCCTACACTGGTGGCCAGACAGGGCTCCAGGGCTCGTCCTAAAGTCACCACAGTGTCTCCTCTGCTGTCTGGCCGCCAGCCAGGGAGCAGGAAGAAAAGGGCCTCCACAGCAGATGACGCTCCGCTACAGTCTGGCACACAGTGGATACTGGTTCTTCCTAGTTCTCTCTTCTGGATGCTGACCAGTTCCTTTTCCTGCCCCTCCATGTCTTTTTTATTTTTGTTTCCCTAAATTAATGCTGCTTTGATTTGTCTTGTTTATAAAGATAAAATCCCCTGGAAGTGTCAAGGAGTGGGAGTAGCCAGGCCCCAGTTACTTTTATAGCCAAGTTTGGCTGAGAACAGACTGATGAAGAGTAAGAAAAGCCATTCCCACCCTCCTAGGTTTGCATCCAGAGCCCTGTGTCTTCCTTGCAAGAGGAGGAGATGGTTTCTGTGAGCACAAAGCTGTTTTGATCAGGAGAGAAGGCAGGTGCATCTTCACTGCTGCCTCCCCACCCCCCCAGGCCCACCCTCCCGAGTGTAAGAACACTGAACCCAGCCACTGCCCTGGGTCCCTGTCCTGGAGATGGTCTAATAAATCCTTTTCCCTTCTTGAGCCACTGGAGTGGTCTCATCTTTGACTTGTCTGGGGCTACCTGAAGGCCACTTTTGCTTCCAATAACATGCTCTCATTTTCTTTGCTTCTTCCTCTCCTCTCCTCAGCAGAGTAGGAAGCAAGCAGGAATGCTGGCCACCTTCTACAGTTCTCAGGTCTGCTCTCCAGTAAGGTGGCTCAGAAGATTGGCTGGGGGTATTTAAGGGACCTGGTCAGCTCTTCTTATTGTCCAGTGTCCAGATCACAGACTGCAAAGTGGGAGGCCTTTGTGTCAGACATAACCTGCAGCTGTTTGGTTTGGTCTGCTGCCAACATTTAAAAATCAAAAATTGACATAAAAATGTAGATTTTTCTGGGTGGTGACACATACCTGTAATACCAGTGACTTGAACTCCTGAGGCCAGAGGATCCCAAGTTCAAGGCCAGTTTTAGCAATGTAGTGAGGTCCTGACTCAAAAATAAAAGGGCTGGGGATGTAGCTCAGTGGTAAAGCACCCATGTGTTCAATCACTAGTACCAAAAAAAAAAAAAAAAAAAAAAAGGCAGATTTCTGGCTCTGGAGGTAAAACTAGGCCTACATCCCTGGGCAGGGGCTGCCCTGTTTAAAAGGAGTTCCCTTTCCCCACTCATTTATGTTGCCCACCAGGCAGCCAGTGGACTTGGTGACCCCTGAAGTAGACACCAAGGTTCCAAAGCTGGCAGTCCCAGAAATGCTGTGTGATATGGAGCAGACACAGCACTTTCAGCTTCACCCTGACAACCACATGGAAAAGGCCTATCAGGAAACAGACTGTGAAGGGATGGTCTAGCCATTCTTCCCTCTAAAACTGGTATTATTCATCTATATTTTATTTTATTGGGACTGAATGCAGGCCCTCAAGCATACTAAGCACATTCTCTACCAGTGAGCTATATCCCCAGCCTTAATTCTCTTCTTAAAACCTGTGTGGGAGCAGGCATGATGGCACATGCCTATAATCCCAACAACTTGGGAGGCTGAGGCAGGAGGATCACAAGTTGGGGACCAGCCTCAGCAACTTAGTGAGGCCCTGTCTCAAAATAAAAAAATAAAACAGGCTGGGGATGTGGCACCCCTGGGTTCAATCCCTGATACCCAAAAAGAAAAAAAAAAAAAAAAAAAAAAAAGTTCAAGATTCTAACTGGTACATGTGTGTGGTTTTTGTGGCCAATACCTATCTTGGTGAGAGAAGTTTTCTTTATTGGAAATGCAAGGATTTGTTGATACTGACCATCACAAAGGTATCACCAAAGGGCTGTGACCCTCAGACTATAAGGAAGCATTGTAGTCTAACCGTGGGGCAGTGCTTGGTGGTGATTCTTCTCCAGTTTCACTGCATCTTCAGCCTGTCAGCCTGCTCCAAAGTTAGAGAAAACTATAAGCAAGAGTGGGTTTTTCCTGGGCTTGTCTAAATAATTTACTGGACTCCCTACCACTAAGCTACATGCCCAGCCCTTTTTAGTTTTTGAGATTGTCTCACTAAGTTGTCCAGGCTGGCCTCCAACTTGTGATTTTCTTACCTCCGCCTCCTAACTAGCTAAAATTACAGGCATGTACCTCCGTGCATGTTATTGTGTTTTTGCAGTACTGGGGATTAAACCCAGGACCTCCCACATGCTAGACAAGTGCTCTGACCTGCCATTGACTACACCCCCAGTCCTCATTTGTGTACACTGATTTTGAGGATTTTGTTTTACAAGAACATCTGTTTCAGAGGCTAAGGGTGTAGTTCAGTGGTAGAGCCTGTGCACAGCCTCCAGCAATACAAATAAAAACAAACAAAAAAACTTGAATACCTCAAACCTCAACATAAAAATGAGGTTAGACAATTTACCTAATACTTTTGGAATTCCTTCACCTCTTGACAAAACTCAACAGTTTCGTAAAAATTAAACACTGGTAGTATGATGCTAATTTATTTTTTTCAAAATAAGCATGGTAAACAGCTAAGTACCAATTCTGCTTTCCATTACTAATTATGACAGGAAGGGGCTTGCTCCTTATCAGTTGTCATTCCCACCTCCAGCCCTGTTCCATGGCCTCACCCAACCAATGAGCCAAGTACCCGCTGTTCAACAGATCTTAGCAGCAAACTTTTCCCTAACTTTGTTAAAGGTGGCAGGTAAAAGACCTGAGCTGGGTACAGTGGTGCACGCCTATAATCCCACTTACTTCAGAGGTTGAGGCAAGAAGACTGGGAGTTTGAGCCCAGCTTGAGCAAGGCAACAAGATGCCATCTTAAAAAAAGAGAGAAAGAAAGGTGGAGACCTAAACTATCTGAACCTGTTAAAATGTGTGGATACGTATTTACATTAATAATGTCATTAAACACTTTCTTGAATTGGGACCACTCTGTCCTGTGTTTTACTTTTATAAGCAACTGGTATCCAAGGCAAACAAGGACTCTCCAAGTCAGACACATACAAGCCCTTTGTAAAAAGAACTCAGAGAAACTCAGAAAAATGCTTTATCTGCATTTTTTTAACTTTTTGTTTTATAGGTGTAGATGGACAGAATGCCTTTATTAGTTTATTTTTATGCGGTGCTGAGGGTTGAACCCAGTGCCTCACGAATACTAGGCAAGTGCTCTGCCACTGAGTTACAGCCTCAGCCCCCTTACCTGCATTTTAAAACACAGCTTTCTAATATTTGGGAACTGTGTTACTATGAAATCTTGGCTTTGGAAGTAGGTTATACAGGTCTTATGATATCACTGTTGAGAATGGTTATGTACTTGCCCCTCTTCTCTCCATACAAAAATGTCAGGAAACATCCATTTCAGGGGGATTATTTTTCTCAAATTGTAGCAATATTTTGTCCAAACCTGACTTGAATAAACATTTCTAAGATTCTCCTCTAACTCAGTTCAATATGCTCTGGAAGTCCACTGTTTTCTTTCATATCAGGACCAATACCAAGTTGAAGGCAAATAAGATATTCCCAGCTCAAATTCAGGTATTTGCATTTAGTCTTTCCAGATCCTCAGCCCCAGCAGGAAAGCTTCAGTCGTTCACCTCCATCCAGTGGATGTTTGTAAATGTCCTGCTGTCCATTTTGTCAATGAACAGGCAGCCTTGCAAGTGGTCCATCTCATGCTGGATGATGCGGGCTGTCCACCCTCTTGCCTGCCACTCCACCTGTTCTCCTCTTGGATCCATTCCTGTAAAGAAAGTTACATGCTGATCCAGGTGAGGTGAGGACATGCTTAACTGCATCATTCTCAACCTCCTTGTGCTGTTCCCTGCCCCCTGCCCTGTTTGCTCCTATTTACAAGAGGCAACATAAGTAAGCAAATATAGACAGCAACCCCTACCCATCCTAGAGAAGATGCCTCAATTCTGCCCATTCCCAAGTATACCTAGTTCCCCCTCTAATAATAAGGTTGTGGGGCTCAATATGAGGCGGACAATGAGACATTCTTTCGCTAAGATGCCCTCCTTTCTTCTCACTTGTCAAGTGTTGCTTCCTATCAAAGGTATGTTAGCCTGGTACAGTAGAAAATAAAGAGACACCTTCTGACCCTCTTGGCCGAAGTGATTTGCTCAAGAATAACAGTCATCCCAACCCCTTCAGAGAACCATTCTACAAAACATCTATGGTATGACAGAGGCGGATGGTTTACTGCCCTGGGCTTGGCAACGCTGGGTTCCACTTCTCCAAACCCATTTTGACAGATACAGTGGGGCAGGAGAGAGGGAGAGGGAACGAATGTGGGGTGTGGGCAAGGAGGGAGAGAGAGAAGCAGGGGAGGAGACAGGAAAAGAGAATTAAATCCAGGCTGGACGAGCAACTAACTGCGGAATTAGGGCACCTCCCAACCCGTGTCCCGAGGGAGCCCTGACCTGACAGGAGCCTCCTTCCCCACCAGTCCGTCACTCCCGAGTCCCTTGCGCTCCCGGGTCCTGCTTTGCTCCCAAGGGAGGCTCTGCAGACGAACTATAAACAAGTCTGCACACTCCCTGGAGCTTCGCAGAGACCGTTCCGTGGGCTCCGGTGCCGCCGCCTCCACTGTCAGGGCGAGAGCGCAAAGTTACCCAGCCGCCCCGGCCCGGCCGCCCGCACCTGAGATCTGCACAGCCTGGAAGCGGGGAACGCAGGCCAGGAAGCCGGCGACGCTCTCGCAGCCCTCGGGAAAGGTGACAACACTGCTATCCAGCACCCGCAGACGAGGGTTCACGAGCACGCGCAGCGGAAAAGGCTCCATCTGGCGGAGCGCGCGCAGGCGCGGCGCGCAGGCGCGGAAGAGCGCCTCGGGGAACTCCAGGGCCAGCACCTGCAGCGGCACCCCCAGCTGCGGCGCGCTCAGGCCTACGCATCGCCGGCGCCGCATCACCTGCACCAGCCGCTCCACCAGCCGCTGCAGCTCCGGGGTCTCCAGTTGCGCCGGCTCCACCCGGGCCGCTACCGCCCGCAGCACTGGGTCCCCGATCTGGCAAACGTGCAAGTACGGCGGCTGCGGCGCTCCTAACAACAGACGTCTCACGTAGTGCCAGTAGGAGCGCTGGCGCGCCGGGCCCTCCAGGCCGTCCACGGCCGCTGTGGAGCTGCAGGTCCGGGTGCCACCCGCTCCAGCCCCGCACAGCCGGCCGGTCCCTGGGCAGCCACGCGCCCGCAGCGTTCCTAACAGCGGGAGCGTGTTCAACAGCCGACCCATGGCGCGCACCAGCAGGAACCCGCTCCCCCGGCCGTTTCCCCCGCCCCGCTGCCGCCAGGGACGCCGGGAAGTGTAGTTGCCGCGTACCTTGGGAGAGACCATCAGTGAGAGGACCAGCAGCCAGGTCGTGACTATCGTCCAGCTTTATTGTTAAATTCCACCCACGTACAGGAGTGACTGGGAAGTACCCTCTTTGTCCCCGTGAACAACCTCGCAGCCCGTCCCTGGCGACGCAGCCCTGACCGACAGCGACTCTATGCCCCGAGTTGCTGGAACTTCTGATCCCACGCACCACAAGCTGCTTCCCATCCTGGGCGACTTCATCCTGGGCGACTTGAACACCGGCTAAGACCCCGTATTAGGCGCCTCGGCCAGCAACGCACCCCCCTCCCTCAGCTTCCCCTGCGGCGACTCCACTGTCTCCATCTCCTCTGGCCCACCAGAGTGGCACGCTGCAGCAGCAGACCCCAGAATCGGCTCCTCAGCAGGAGGCTGCGGTGCAGAATCTGTGAGTTTGGATGCTAGCTCCTTGTCATCTAGAGAGAAGACCACCTCTCTCTTAGGCAGGATAAAGGCGAGAGGCTCCTGGATAAGGATGATGTCCACATGCCCAAGGTTTCCATACTTGGAAAGCTGAGTGGGTGGAATGCCTGCCCCAGATGGTAGGGAAAGGGAAATGGAAAAAAACGTTATTAATAAAATCAAATACAGAAGTCACAGGGAAAAAAAATACTAAAGAGTAAGAAACACACACCAATTACTTTTTTTTTTTTTCCCCTTTTTGGTACCAGAGATTGAACCCAGAGCTGCTTTACCACTGAACTACATTGCAGCCCTTTTGTATTCAGAGACAAGTTCTTCTAAGTTGCTGGGGCTGGCTTTGGACTTGATCCTCCTGCCTCAATCTCCTGAATCTCTGGAATTAGAGGGATGGGACATTAAGCCTGGCTCAAAATTACATATTTCAATACAGCAAAGACCATCTTTGTGATGTGGGACAAGAAACTATACTGTAAAGCAAGACCACAATGGTAATTTGGAATAGCTTAGGGAACAGTGGATGGAGCCAGAGCAAAAAGATTACTTAGCACAGATTCCTGGGACAGACCCAGGAATTAGGGCAAAGATGGAGGGCAGCCACTCTTAGCCAGTGTGATCACTAACTTACTACCCTTTGGGGAGTTGTGCCTCCCTCACCCCCAGCTCCACCAGGATGAGGATGAAAGCAAGTGAGGAGAAAGCAAACTGGGGAAAAAAATATTTTTAAAATCCCTCCTCTCTGGGGCTGGCCACATAATGCTTGCCTAGGATGCTTGAGACCCTGGGTTCAGTCTCCAGAACGACCCTCAAAAAAATCGTAAATAATAATAAAAACCCTTCTCTAATGCTGGGTGTGGTGTTTACACCTATAATTCCTCAGCAACTTGGTGAAATCCTATTTCAAGAATGGGCTGGGGCATAGCTTGGTGGTAGAATACGCCTGGGTTCAATCCCCAGTACCACAGAAACAAAGCAAAAAACCCTCCTCTGGGGCTGAGGATGTAGCTCAATGGTAGAGGACTTGAGGGCAAACAGAAGGACTCAGGTTTGATCTCTAACACTACAAAAATAAACTGGGACAGAAATAAACAGAATACAGGTTGCCTGGGGCTAAGGATATGATTGAGGAGGAACTAAAAGTCAGCACAAATTATCTTTTTTGAGGTGTTGGAGATGTTATAAAATTGTATGGCGTGACTATTGTACATATTTGTATATTTACTAAAAAACAAATTACATACCTGTAAAAGTTTTTTAAAAAATCCTTTCTCTTACCTAAAGTCTGTGCTAGCTGAGCTGGTGGGAAAAGGACTTGAAGACAACGATTTAAATAAGGAACAAGGTCTTCCAGGAAGACAGTGCAAAATTGAACGAAGAGCTCTTGTTCTCCACTGCTGAAGGCAGCCTCTTCTGCGCGATGGAAGGCCAGGATTATTTTAGTTACCTAAAAGACAAGAATACCATCAATCACTGGCACAGTGCATGAAATGGAGCACAAATGTGCAGCCTTCAGGTTTTCTTTCTTTCTTTTTCTTCTTTTTTGTGGTGCTGAGGATTGAACCCAGCGCCTTGTGCATGCGAGGCAAGCACTCTAAAAACTGAGCTGTATCCCCAGCTCAACCTTCAGGTTTTCATTGCAAACAATACTATCTTGTTTAAACTCAGAACTGTGGCCAGTCTTTGCAATTGTCATCTTCCTAATGTATTTCTTACCCAACTTGTTTCATTACTGGTGTAGTTTCCAGTTCTAGTGGAAGAGTCATGAAATTATACAGAGAATACATGGTTTTTGATATCCTTGGGGGCTGGACCAGGTCTGTGATGGATCCAAGAAAATGAAGCAGTTGACTTTGAATTAATCAAAAGGGAGATTATCCTGGATGAGTATGACTTAATCAAATGAACTTTTTTTTTTAAATTTGTTCTTTTCAGTTATACACGAGAGATGAACCTTTTAAAACAATATACCTAAAAGAAGAGACTAAAGTAGGAGAGATGCTCTCCTGCTGGCCTTAAAAAAAACAGCCATAGTCAGGAGTGGTAGCACATTCCTGTAATCCCAGCAGTTTAGAAAGCTGAAGCAGGAGGATCATGAATTCAAAGCCAGCCTCAGCAACTTGGTGAGCCCCTGAGCAATATTTTATTTAGACCCTGCCTCTAAATAAAATATAAAAAAGGGCTGGGGATGTGGCTCAGTGGCTAAGTGCCCCTGGGTTCAATCCATGGTACCAAAAAAAAAAAAAAAAAAAGGAAGAAACATCTACGCTATGAGCTGTCTGTCTGTGGAGGGGACAGCCCTCCACATAGTTGAGGATCTCAGTCAAAAAACTTTTGTTAACTGTCAGGAATGAAAACTGCCAACCTGAATGAGCCTGAAAGGAAGTCCTGAGCTACCACAGCCTAGACAGCTTAACTACAACTTGGTGAGACCCTGAACAGGACCCAGGGATACTACGACTGGCAATAATAGACATACTATTATAAGCTGCTAAATTTGTGGAAATTTGTTATATAGCAGTAGAAAACTAATATATTGCTGAATCATGATCTCAGGTGAACCACTACATGAATGGTGATGGTTCCAGTTCCCACAAAGCAGAAGCTTCTCAACTAGAAAAACTTTCAAAACTACACAACCTCTCCAAGGACACCACTTTCATATGAAACTGGTTTATCACAAAAGTCAGGCCATCTGTTACCAAAGGCAGCCCAGGATAGGAGAAAACCAATGAATGTGCTCACCTTAACAAGGGCATCCTCCAAGGTACCAGTGACATCCTGTGCCAGGGCCACAGGGCAGCAGAGACGCAGGTCATTGAAGGCAACCAGAATATTGTTGAGGAAGCATGCAAGGGGAGGGAAGTCTAAAAGTACCATTGGTGGCTGCAGTGTCCCTGGTTGAGTGGCTGGCACAGCAGCAGGAATGTTACTGCTGCCCAGGATGGCTGGAGCTGAGATGAGGGTATAGGAATTCATCTCATCCTGGAATTTTTCCACTGCTTCCTGAATTGCTTTCTGGAAAGTATTGATGGCCACCCGCTGGAAAACAGGAGCCAACTGACCCCGGAAATCAGCCCCCACCCGGCTGAATGACAGCCCAAAGTACATACACTGGCCCAGCAGAGAGTCCAAGCGGCCTCCTATCCCCCGGTAAAGGTCAGTCTCCAGCACCTGCAGGAACTGTGAAACTTTCTGCAGCACCCATCCATGAAAGATGGCACCCTCATTCACAGTGTGCTCCCCCATGGCAGTTGGCAACAGTGGGTCCTCGTCTGAGAAAATGGCACGGTACTGTGTGATGATATCAAAGAGGTGGACTCGGCAGGCTTCAATAGTTTTTGTGATATGGAAATAGGGATCATCATTAGGGATTGTAGTCAGGATGGAACGGAGCCAAGCATCTCGGGCCTGAAGAAACTTTACTCTTAACTCAGCTTCAGTGAAGATGTCCATGCGCCGTAGGTAGCCAATGACACGGAGGCAGGCAGGGAGCTGGATGTTGGTCCTCAGTTGCTGAATTAGTTGGCTCAGCATCAGCTGCATGGACTGGCGCACTTCGTTCACAATGCCCTGACAAAACAAGGAATGAGTAACAACATACAGAGACACTCTCTGGAACCCACTCCACTAACCCTGAACATTTCAGACAAACTTCCCATGGTTTTCCTGATATACAAAATGTATTTCTAAAGCTGATACTGGCAGGACAGATTTACAAAAATAGATCTGGTTGCATAATTCCCTTGCTTGCATTTTTTTTTTTTTTTTTAGATACTGGGGTTGAACCTAGGGGTGCTTTACCACTGAGCTGCATTGCTAGTTCTTTTATTTTTTGAGACAGGTTCTCACTAAGTTGCTGAGGCTAGCCTTGAACTTGTGATCTTCCTGTCTCAGCCACCAGAGTGGCTGGCTGGTCCTTAGTTTATTTTCTTTGGACATTTACCACTATCTGAAATAATCATATTATTTGTCAATTATCAGACCTCCACTAGAATGTAAGCTTCATGAGAGCCATGGCCTTGACTACTTTGATCAACCACAGTCCTGGCACCTAGATCAGTGCTTGGCACCTGATTCAAACATGTATCTTTGAAGGAATCAATTAATGAATGTTTTCTACTCAAGCTTGCCTGCCTGACAGAAACTGATGTGAAACATGAAAAGGTTTTTATCTAACAGTTCAGTCACAACCACATTAATGATCATAAGATCAGTTTAGCCACTTGTGATGGCCCTCTCCTATAATCCCAATCACTTAGGAGGCAAAGGCAGGAGGACTGCCAAGTTCAAGGCCATCCTCAACAACTTAACAAGACCCTCAGCAACTGAATGAGACCCTGTCTCAAAATAAAAAATAAAAAGGGCTGGGAATGTAGGGACATAGTTCAGTGGTGAAGTACTCCTGGGTTCAATCCCCAGTCCTAAAAGAATAAAAAAAGAAGGTCTGAGGGCAATCCCCAGTACTAGGGAGGAAAAATTCAGCTTGAATACTCTGGGCAAGCAGGCTACCTGGATGACAGGAATGGAGGAGTATTTCCTTTCCAATCGCCGTACATAGGCTGCAAGCTCCAGGGCCTCTTCATAGTAGCTGTTCCGGACACAGGTATCCATAAGCTGAGGGATCTCCAGAATTTCCAGGATTTCTGTGTGCCGGTTTAGAGTCAGGGTGTTCATCCGTCGGTTGGAGCTGATCTCCTCAGCTTCCTTCACAAAGTTCCTACAAACAGGATGATGTTAGTCCCTTAATACTCTGCCCCCAAACCTTAGCTGATTACCAAGCACTGACTGTAAACTGGGCACTGGGTTAGATGGCTTACCTGATTTAATCCTTACAACCAAACCTACAAAGTAAATAAATGTACTTGAGGGAATTTTTAATCTCAGGGGAAGCAACTTGTCCAAGATCACACAACTAATAAATGATAGATATGAATCAGCTGCCATGGACTGGCAGACAGAGGATTAGACTGTTCCAGATCCCATAAAGGGGAACTAAGTAGCTATAGCAAGGGACTTAGGCTCTCCGGAAGTGTTTCTTCATTGGTAATTTTTTTTTTTTTTAACCCAGGGTTGCTTAGCCACTAAATCACATTCCTATTTCTTTTCTTGCTAAGTCCTCAGGGCCTCAATAAGTTGCTAAGGTTGGTCTTCAATTTGCAATCCTCCTGCCTCAGCCTCCCAAGTAACTGGGAATAATAGGCATGTACCACTGTGCTTCACCATTAATACAATCTACCTCAAAATGATGCCAGAATTAAGTGAGATGATGCATGTGAAGCACTTAACACAGACCTGATGCAATGTAAATGTGGCAGAGTAAAAGAGACAAATATTCCTTTAAAACTATTATTTTCATAATAAAGCACTAACTAGCCTACAAGACACAATCTTACCCCAAATTCCCTCAGGTTTCACTCTCCTATGCTACTGTTCAACTTTAATTCCCACTACATTCTACTTTGTTATTTCTCTGTAATAACTGCAGAGACTTGCTTTATGAAGTCCCTTCTCTATTTGGGGGCGTGGAGGATACAAAAGCTATTGTCAAATATCCAAAGGATCAAAAGTAAAATTAAACTTGAATCATAAAAGGCTGGACTACAACTTAGAAAAACTGGACTGTGACCCAAGGAAGTACAATATGGCTCAAAAACGAAATTTTGATTGTCTTTGATGCCCCCAAATGGGAGGATTTTCTAGTCAGCCTTCTATCCCTGGAAGTTTTGACACAGATGGCATCCTATCTGAGCTGTTGTCATACTTACATAAGTGTGCACATATATTAAGTTGGCATTTATTGTATTCTATGCCAGACCCAATGATAAATGTTTTGCATGGATTCTTTTCGTTTAGTACAGAAGTCCTACAAGGACTGCATTCCAATCACGACTTGAAAACTTAGTTGCTGTGTTAATGAACAAGTCCCTAACCTACGTCTCCACTTCCTTATTCGTAAAATAGTAATCTACCTCGAAGTCTATCGTGAGGTTTAAATGGATTAATAATGTGTTCAGAGGAGAGCCTGGCACATAGTATGCGCAACGTGTTAGTTATCTCTGTCATCCTAAATGTCAGCTATCATAATTAGAGACTCCTTTAGGGCCGGGCGGCTGCACCTGCAGTTCTGCTGGAAGCTGGGCAAGCGATCGAGCAGGCGGCCAAGCGACTCCTCCACGTCGCCGAAGAGGCGGTGGATACGCTCAGTGCACTCCGCGCCACGGATAAAGGTCTTGTAGTTGGCGAAGGCCAAGTCGCGCGTCTGTTGCAGCAGCTGTGCCCGCTCCTCGGCCAGGCGCTCGGGCTCGCGCCGCAGCCTCTCCAACCCTGAACCGCTCAGTTCCCGGAGGTAGCGGCCCACATCGGGCCGCTCCCGCCACTGAGCCTCGGGGAAGCGGTCCCGGAAGAGCGATGCCAGGAGTCCTTCATCCTCCACCTCTCCCAGAGCTGCTGCCGCTGCCGCTGCCGTAGCCGAGGCCGTGGATGAAGATGGGAGAGTCACTGCAGCCGCCATCTTCTCCTCAGCTGCGTCACTTCCCCTCCAAACCGGTGAGGGCGCTGAGCGCCTAGGGCCGGAAGCAACAGGGTCACATTTCCTGTCTCTATGGTTTCTTCGCTGGAGGATTTTCTTTCCTCGGCGGTCCTCCACGTTAGGGGGCACTAGTGCAGGACGGGGCTAGAGAGGCAGGCTTTGGGGTTGCCAGGGAGCCGCCGGAACCCGACTTCCGTTCCTGGCAGCGGAGGCACGAGGAATCCGGTGTTTCAACCCAGCGGGAAAATGCGGCCTTTAACTGAGGAGGAGACCCGTGTAATGTTTGAGAAGATAGCCAAATAGTAGGAGCACGTGGGGCGGACGAGGGAGTGTGTGCGCGGTGGACCCTGGGTGGAGTGGGGACGCGGTACTGGGTGAATCCGTTCGGGCGCGGCCTCCAGTCCTCTTTTTACCCTCAGCATCGGGGAGAATCTTCAGCTGCTGGTCGACAGGCCCGATGGCACCTACTGTTTCAGGCTGCACAACGACCGGGTGTACTACGTGAGGTGAGGCGTTGCTGGGCGGGCAGTGTGGATACAGTGGAGGCTTGCGTCCCCTGAGCCTCCCTAACTCGAAACCTTCCTCCTGCTTATCCCATTAGTGAGAAGATTTTGAAACTGGCCGCCAATATCTCCGGGGACAAGCTAGTATCGCTGGGGACCTGCTTTGGAAAATTCACTAAGACCCACAAGTTCCGTTTGCACATTACAGCTCTGGATTACCTTGCACCCTATGCCAAGGTTTGTGGGATGCTTTCCATTTCGTCACTGGGAAGGAGATCAAAGATAAGGGGCACTTTAGAATGGTGACACGCTATAATCCCAGCAACTCGGGAAGCTGAACCAGTAGGATCCCTGTTTTGAGGCAGCCTCTGCAATTTAGTGAGATCCTGTCTCAAAACAAAAGAAAAAAAAAAAAAGCAAGAGCTCAAAGCACTCCGGGGTTCAGTCCCCGGTACCAAAAAAAAAGAAAAGAAAAGAAAGAACGCAAATCATTGGACAGCTGTTTTCCTGTGGAGTACCTGAGAGTACCTGGCCCAATGCCAGCACAAGGAGACTTTTTAAAGTCTTGCTGCGTGGCCATGCAGCTGCATAGTATAGTAATCTCCAGCAAAGTAGAAAAGCCTGTGCAGATCCAGTTGAAGATCAGAAACCAGATAAATGGCTGTGATGAGGAGGGTACTGGGATTCAGAAAAAGAACTGTTAAACTGTCCATGGGAAAAATTGCTTGTAGAGTTGAGAAAACTTTTTGGCAGTTCTGTTCAGTGGATGAACAATTTGAGGGGAAAAAATGCACCTACCCCTTCCCCAAAATTCTTTTTTTTTTTTTTTTTAAATATTTATTTTTTAGGTGTAGATGGACACAACACAATGCCTTTATTTTTATGTGGTGCTGAGGATCGAACCCGGTCCCGCTCGTGCTAGGCCAGCGTTCTACCGCTGAGCCACAATCCCAGCCCCCAAAATTGTTTTTAGAAATAATCACAGGGGCTGGAGTTGTGGCTCAGTGGTAGAGCGCTTGCCTAGCACGTAGGAAGCCCTGGGTTCCATCCTCAGCACCACATAAAAATAAAAGATATTGTGTCCAACTACAACTAAAAAGCAAAATATTTTAAAAAAAGAAAAAGAAGTAATCACAAAACAGCAGCTGACTTATTCACAGGGATATAACTATTACTGTTTTTTTTTTTCTCTCTTGCATTTTAATTCTATCTTACAGTATAAAGTATGGATAAAGCCTGGAGCAGAGCAGTCCTTCCTCTATGGAAACCATGTGTTGAAATCTGGTCTGGGTCGAATTACTGAAAACACTTCTCAGTACCAGGGAGTGGTGGTATACTCCATGGCAGACATCCCTTTGGTAAGTAAAGATGGTAGCTATTACAAAAACCAAGTGTCTTTTTATTCAAGAAGGATGTATTTTCAATTTGTGCTCCTGAGAAACTAATTTCTAAGCACCTTTTGAATTCCTCTAGGACAAGAATTGTGTTTTTTTCTCATTTTTATTATTTTCAGCCCTCAACATGGGCTTATTGAATGACTTGAGTGAATTAGTGTCTCTTCTTTTGAATCCCAGGGTTTTGGGGTAGCAGCAAAGTCTACACAAGACTGCAGAAAAGTAGACCCCATGGCGATTGTGGTATTTCATCAAGCAGACATTGGGGAATATGTACGGCATGAAGAGACATTGACTTAAAATGAAGTCATCGCAAGAACTTAACATCTGTGTGGAAGGGCCTAGCTTTGTTTCCTGTGTCTATGCAGACGCCGCCATCATGTTGAATTTTGTCAGCACTGTGACCTCTACAGGGACTTCTTAGTTTAATATTCTCATTATCACTGACAGGTGCAGGCTGATTCTTACTATACAGAAGTGACTCAAAAGTGGGGTTTTAGATCATTTGTATTTGTAACTAAATAGAATACTTTTATATTTGAATCAGGGGGCTTCTTGTTCTGAGTAATAGCTTCTAAATTATTGGAACTGAGGACAAGAATATAGTATTATTGTTATCTGTGATAACACTGTTTTCCGGACTCATGGTAAGAACACAATGGATTTTCTTTGTTATTTATTAATTCACAAAAGATATTGCTATATAATAGTTGACCATGTCTGAGGTTTTAGGTATGAATTTGGCTAAAATAATAAGTGCAATTTAGTCAGCTGCTTTTCTATACAGTAAGTGCTATATGGTATGGAAGAAAAACTTGGATTCAAATCCTACTTCTGCCACTTGTCAGCTATACAGCTATGAATAAGTTGTTGAGCTTCCGTAAGCTTCATTTCCTTCTGTTAAAAAAAAAAAAAACTACTTTAGCCATCAGTCTAAGAATGCTTTTTAGGATTAGGAATCATGATTATAAAGCATAAGGCACAGTGCGTGGCAAATAATGGGGGTTGGAGAAAATGGTAGAGGAGTTATTTTTATATTATATATTTCTTTTACTAAGTAAGCATGTGGTCTTATGAGTATAATTTGATTATATTTTTACTTTTTTTCTTTTTTATCTTCTTTTTCTTGGATGGGATGATCCCAGTTTATAATTTTGTTCATTTCTTTGATTTTATAAAACATTTCTCTTATCAGCCTGACTAGACTGGACAAAAAAGCACTAATTACAAACCCTGAAATAATTTAGCTCCTTCATCCTCATACTTCCCCAAAATCTCTTGTAGAATTAAAATATTTTATAAAGGAGAACATTTCAGAGCCAGAAGTTTTAAAAACCACGTGTACTGTAAAACAAAACAATTTCTTAAATGAATATAAAACTTTTAATTCCAAAGGAAACATCTCTAAAAATAAAATACTTTAAACTACAAAAAGCACTCTACCAACTCCTGTTAATATCTGCAAGCAAATTTGCTTTTGTCCCGTTGTTTTCTACTCTTCTCCCTTCCAGGGTTTTCTGTTAACCTCTAAGTAGAATCACTGAAGGCTAATGGACTGTTTTATGATGAAAAGTTTTTTAATCTTGGCATTTAATTCATATTTTAGAAATAGTTAAACTCTGAACATTTGCACTTTTATTATTTTATTGCCATTTTGCTTTTGTTGATAAGGGTAATAGATTAAAATATTAAATTGATTTTTTTTCCCCCAATAATTTTATAAAGGTGATTTGACTAAAGTTTTGAAAAAGCTGCTGCCCCAGTAAAAAAAAAAGCCAGGATGCTGTAGTCAGCTTAGCATTTTGGCTTCTTTGTGTCAGTAGTTGTTGGAACACTGAAGAGACGCTTCAAGAAATAGAGCTGCAAAATCCCAGAAAGAACAATAACAAGGCTCTGAACTGCTGACCACCAGTTCACATAGGTGTAGTTTGACTGGACAAGGAAAAAGTCAGCCATTTTCCTCATTCGTGCCAAGGTGTAGAATCGCCACATGTGGAAGACATTGTTGTGCACCTTTCGTGTACTCTCCTATAGGAGGAAAAAAAAAAGAAAGGGATCCATTCCCCACCTATCCTCATGAGTGCTCAGCAGCACTAACCTATCTTAAAGTCAAGTAATTTCCTTATGATTTTAAAATATAGTATTTATTTGGCTATGCTGGGGCTCAAACCAGCACATTCTAGGCAAACGCTGTACTGCTAAGCTAAAACTCCAGCTCTATAAAACTATTATGGTTGATAAATGCTAATTTTGAAACTGGGTGTGGTGGCACACTCTTGTAATCCCAGTCACTTGGGAGGTTGGGACTAGAGAATCAATGATCACAAGTTTAAATTAAAGGCAACCAAGTGAGACTCTGACTCAAAAAGGGAGGGTGGTGCAGGGTAAAATTATGACTCCAGTAGAGTGGCCCTAGGTTCAATTCCTAGTACCAAAAAGAAAGTTTTGCTGTATATGAAAAGTGGACTATACAACAGTGTGGTAGAGTGCCTTTATTTTTTTATTATTATTATTATTATTATTTTTTAATATTGTGGGAACTGGGGGTGTGGGTTGGTGGTATAGTGCTTGCCTGGCATGCGCAAGGACCTAGGTTCAATCCCCAACACACATACACACACAAACAAATATTGTGCAGTGCTGGGGTTAAAACCCAGGGCCTTATATGTAGTAGACAAATGCTCTGCCACTGAGCTACACCCCAACCAAAAAAATTTTTTTTTGTTTTGTTTTTTCAATGATGAAACGGCTTCAGTGCTTTAAGTAGAAAGCTCTTTCCAGAAGATCTCTAGATTTAAGCATGTATTAAGCCTTTCATTACACTTTTGGTAATTTCTTCTGCCTGCAGACTCTGAGGGACAGACAGTAAATATTTTGGGTTTTACTGACCATCTCATCTCTTACAACTACAAATTCTGCCACTGCAGCACAAAAGCAGTCCATAGATACTTGTATTTGTCAAATAAGCATGACTTCAAATAAAACATCCATTTACAATAGTGTTCAGTCCCCAGTACCACAAAAATAAAAATAAAACTTTCACTTACAAAACTAAGCTTTTGTGCACCAAGGAGACTATCAGGAAAGAAAAACTGGGCACTGTGGCACGTGCCTATAATCCTGACTACTTGGAAGGCTGAGGTGGGAGGATCACAAGTTTGTGGCCAGCCTGAGCAGCTTAGCTTAGTGAGCCCTGTCTCAAAATTTAAGAAAGGGCTGGGTTGCAACTCAGTGGTAGGTCACAAGACTAGTGTGCACAAGACCCTGGATTCAGTCTCCAGAACAACAAGGAAAACAAAGAATGAAAATGAAAATCCCACAGAATGGGAGAAAATATCTGCAAATCATGTATCTGATATGGATTCCTGTCCAGGTTATGTAAGTAAAACTTACAAAATACAATACAAACACAACAAGCTGGGCATAGTGGCACATGCCTATTATTCCAGTGACTTAGGAAGCTTGACAAAGGAGGATCTCAAGTTTGAGGCCAGCCTTGCCAATTTAGCAAGATCTTATTTCAAAATAAAAAGGACGTGGAGGTGTGACTTAGTGATAGAATGCACCTAGGTTCAATCCCCAGTACCACAAAAAATAAAAAGAATTACTGGCAGGAGTGGAGGTGCTGGGATTGTGAATACTTGGCAAGTTTTCTACAACTGAATCAAACCCCCCAACTCAAAAATCCAATTTTAACATGGGCAAAGGAAGCTGAGCATGGTAGTGCACACCTGTAATTCCAGCAGCTCAGGAGGCTTAGGCAGGAGGATCGAGTTCAAACCCAGCCTCAGCAATTTAGCAAGGTCTCAAACAACTCGATGAGATCCTGTTTCTAATAAAATATAATAAAGGGAATCCCTGGTACCAAAAATAAATAAATAAGAGCAAAGTATTTTTAAAGAAGATATGTAGCCAAGTATGTGTAATCCCAGCAACTCAGGAAGCTGAAAAAAGTGGATCACAAATTCAAAGTCAGCCTAGGCAATTTAATGAAACCCTGTCAAAGTCAGGCCCAGTAGTGCACTCTTGCACTCCCAGCGATTTGGGAGACTGAGGCAGTAGGGTCACAATTTTAAGGCCTGCCTTGGTAACTTAGTCCCTAAGCAACTTGGCAAGAACCTCTCAAAACATAAGAAGGCTGGGGATATACCTCAGTGGTAAAGCATTTCTGGATTCAATCCCTAATACCAAACATACACATGGTCAATAAACGCTTGAAAATATATGTAACATTAATTATTAGAGAAGGTAACTCAAACCACAAGATACCACTTCATACCTACAGTATGACTATAAAATAAGTGTCAGGATGTGTCAAAATCACTTTCATACACAGCTAGTGGGAACATTTCGGTTACAATGTAACCCAACAGTTCTACTTTCAGGTAGACAAGGTAGAAACAATGCTTGGAGGCACATATTCATGGCAACGTTGTGGTAGCCAAAGGGTGGAAACAACTCAACTGCTAAGTGGATAATAAAATGTATGTTCACACAAGAGAATATTATTCAGCCATAAAAAGGAATAAAGTGCTAATATGTGCCACATGGATAAACCTTGAAAACATGATGAGTGGAAGAAACCAATCACAAAGGGTCCCATGTATGATTCCATGTATGTGAAATTTACAGGATAGGGTAAATCTATAGAAACAATGGAATAGTGGTTGCCAGAGCTGAGGAGATTATGGGGGAATGGAGAGTGACTAACGGGTACAATTTCTTTGGGGGGTGATGAAATTATTCTGGATTAGATGCTAGAGATGGTTGTACAATCTTGTGAATATACTAAAATCTAGTGAAATGTATATGGATTATTTCTCAGTTTGTGTGTGTATATACATACATACAGGTAGTAGGCCCTATTTGGTTTGTGAGTCTTAGTTTGGAAGCCCGTGGAATAAATTAGACTGGGGTTGTGGCTCAGTGGTGGAGCACTTGCCTCACATGTGTGAGACACTGGGTTCAATCCTCAGCACCACATAAAAATAAATAAATAAAATAAGGGTATTGTGTCCATCTACAACTAAAAAAATATATTTTTAAAAAGAGTCCAGGGGCTGGGGATGTGGCTCAAGGGTTCGATCCTCAGCACCACATACAAACAAAGATGTTGTGTCTGCCGAGAACTAAAAAAGAAATAAATATTTTAAAAAATTCATTTCTCTCTCTCTCTCTCTCTCTCTCTCTCTCTCTCTCTCTCTCTCTCTTAAAAAAAAATAAAATAATCTAAGTCTTAAAAATCTGTTAAAAGGATTCAGATCCTCTTGCCTATTTGGTTTCCACTCTTTAATCCTTCCTCCAAATTTAAAATCAGTTCCCATGGATGTCTCTCTCTCACAGAAAACATTACCTGAATTGCATCCAGGGTATCATTGAGTTGTTTTCTTTGAATCTGTTTGTGGTCCATCTCTGGCCCTTCATAGAAGACTCCAAAGTTGACATACACTTGCACAGAACCAAAGTGATTTTGCTGATTTTTTAGACAGAGCTGATAATAACCTGTAGGAATTCCTAGATTGTTACCAAGTCTTTGGTCTCCCACCATATCTTAAGGTTTTCCTGGAGATACCTGTTCCCCTTTTTAAATTGCTACTGCATCACATTCATTTTACTTAGGAAGTACCCAATCCCATTTTTTTACATGGAGGACACTGCTCTAGTCTTACTAAATATTACCAATAATTATATTTTACTGAATATCAGTAACTTCAGTTCTATACTGGATAGATAACAATGTTTTCCCTTTCTCCTAACCTGTAATTCCCATCTTTTTAAGATAACCCTGCTTGACTGTTGAAATTAAAGATTATGGTGTTTGCCTGTTTCTTGTATTCCATTAAAGCTGGGACACCACCTTGAACTTCAAACTAGGGAAAAAAAAAATTGATGCTTTGTGAATGAAAAACACTACTCTATTGGAGTGTTGCCTGCCCCGTGGTCTGTTCAATGACTGATGGGGTTTCTATTAGAGTTCTTTTGAACTGGGTCACCTCTGTGTGCATCGTGGGTCAGGGTAAAATTATAAAAGCATGGCAATTTTGAAAGGCAAAATGTTTGGGAGGCACTATTGGCATGTAGGGGGCAAAGATGCTAAACATCCTTCAGTACAGAATGAGTATCCTACACATGTGGTACACAGTGATGCCTCTGTTGGGAAAATCTGTCTTTGTTTTTTAGTACACTTGATTAGTTACTAAGATTGCCTGGTGTTGTCCAAAGTGGAATAAGCTTGATCTGGCTGTAGGAACTTTCTGGCTGGAGAAGTGCTTTGCTGTGGAGTGTGGATATCTCACATGACCATGCATTTTCTTTTTTTCTGAATCTGCTTTTAAATGACTGAAATATTCTGATAACTGGAAAGAAATGTGTCCCCATGATAAATTTGTTAAATGGAAATCTGTATTGTAATTTGTTTCTTACTTTCTAATAATTTGATCATTTAGAGAAATGAGAAAATTGAGCTTCCACTGAGTACAGTGGCAGGCACCTGTAATCCAGCTACTTAGGAGATTGAGGCAGGAGGATCTAAGTTACAAGCCAGCCTGGGCAATTTATGGCTGAGAGTGTTGTTCAGTGGTAGAGTACTTGCCTAGCATGAAAGGCCCTGGGTTCAATCCCTAGTACAGGGGTTGGGGGTAGATATTGAGCTTCATACCCAGTGGTTATAATGTTCACCTTGAGACCCTGCTCCCAAATTGCCATTGGAATGCCAGTGGACAGTCTTAGATGTCAGAGGTCTCCAAGAAACTGGTTTTGGTGGTGATGGCTAAATTTTCTTCCTACCATTTTACCATCTCTATGTACTTCCTCATTATTTCCTCACTTTCATAGAAACCTCTGATTACTATAATAGCTGTGGGGATGAAAACAGACCTGTTTCTTGGACAAAAAAATTAATCTGGCCCCGAACATCCTGGGAGGTGCCTATGAGGAAATCCTGTGGAGTATGTGCAGTGGCAGCAACATGCCGGTCATGTGACATCCCGAGTATTCGCTGAACCTGCCAAGACATTAAGGAGGGAAGAAAGACCCTGCTACATCACCAAGAAGCCAGCTAGGTGGTAAAATTGACATCCCATAATTATCATCACAGTGGTTCTCAGTCTGGCATGGTACTGGCCACCCAGTCCCCCTTCTGGTGAATTTGGAATTGAGCTTTTTGGTTGTCATAGTAATGGTGTTGTGAGGAGCCACTTCTGAACAATCTACAATGTCAGACATGTTTCCAGCCACACAGCTGGGATGGAGCAGTTGATATGTACAATTCTGCCTGAAGAGTTCTTGGCTGAACTTGCTTGATTGTTGAGCTCCCTGGTGGTATCCCAGATTTGGGCATTTGCTGCTTGGCAGCCCATGCCTACAGTGGGCACTCCATGGACACCTGTCCCCAAACTGGATCTTGATAAGTCCAAGCTATAGTAGCTATTGTTCTGATATAAATTGAAAGATAAGAAAAAGCTCTGAAAAGTTAACTTAATTTTTAGTTACAGTGGGATAAGAGCAACATTATCTATTACTATATTAAAAAGTTAACAGCTTTCTAAGATAAAGAACAAAGGAAAGGAACAGCCTCTCCAGGCACAGTGTTGCACACCTGAGATCCGAGCTATTCAGGTGAGGCAGGAGAATCCAAAGATTGGCCCAACCTGGGCAACTGAGCAAGACCCTGTCTCAAAATAACAAAAGTTAGGGGCTTGGCTTAGTGGTAGGGGGCCTCTGAGTTCAATCTCCAGTATGGGATAAAAAAATAAGATCCTCCAAGTTGTTCCTGCTTGTAATCTCAGTGATTATGGAGGCCAAGGCAGGAGGATTGCAAGTTCAAGGTCACCTCAGCAATTTCACAGCCCCTGAGCAACTTAGAAGAACCTGTCTCAGAATTTAAAAAAAATAAAATAATATATATATATATATATATATATATATATATATATATATTTTTTTTTTTTTTTTTTAAGGGCTGAGATATGACTCAGTGGTTAAGCACCCCAGGGTTCAATCCCCACCATCATCCAGTAAGTAAGTAAATAAATAAATAAATAAAGGAAGGAAGGAAGAAAAGAAAGGCTGGGGATATAACTCAGTGGTAGATCACCACTGGGTTCAATCCCAGAGGAAGGAAGAAATGAGGGAGGGAGGTGGGAAGGAAAGAAGAAAAGAACAGCCTCTAACTTTAATACTGACTGTTCATTATCCTTGAACAATGTGGTGTAAGATCACAATATGGGCAAAAGTACTTGTAAAGAAGGAACTTGAACACATTTACCTTGCTAAAAGAAATAGATTGAGCCAGCGATTCTCCAATCTGCCAGAATTTCCTCTAAAGGCTTCTAGTATAGCAGATGTGGCTCCCCCAACCCCATTCAGTAGAGCAGCTTTCTTTTAAACTTCTGGGTCAGTCTGCAAGTTTCATGTGTTTTCATCCAGCTTTGTACTATATTCACGTTTTATTGATTTTTACATGCTGGGGACTCTGTATCTACTTTTTAAAAAAAAAATTTTATTGTAGATGGACACAATACCTTTATTTTATTTATTTTTATGTGGTGCTGAGGATCGAACCCACGGCCTCCCACGTGCTAGGCGAGTGCTCTACCACTGAGCCACAACCCTAGCCCTCCTATATCAATTTTTAAAAATATATTTTAAAATGTATCCTTACTCCTCTCATCCCCAAATCCAAATCAATGCAATGGTTGCCTCTCCAGGAATTTGTCCCATGGCTTTGAGCACACTTCTGCGGCCCCAGTTTGAGAAGCCAAGCCATATGTTTGAGCTACCATTGGCAATTATTCTCCAGCTCTCACCAAGAGTTTCCCTCTAACTGCAGGTCTATTTCATCAACAGGTGGGGATCACAGCATAATAGACAGCTAGAATTTGGTTTGATCTAAACCTGACTCATTTTACAAAAGGAAAAAATAGTTCCCAGTATGGCCACAGAAACCCAAGTACCTCATAACTGAAATAGAAGTATCCAGTCTGGTGGGCAAATTGCCAAAAGCATTCTGTGCTTCCTGGAGGGATCATAATGGCAAAGTCATGTCGATCAGCTCTGTGGAAGAGCGATTGGTCCCCAGAGCCTCTTAAGGGTTCTGTCTTCTGGCTCCTAGCAGATATCACTAGATTCAGAATCAGTAGCCAAGCCCCAAGGAGTAAAGGAGACATGCTGCTTTCTGTAGACTCCTGCAGGTGAACTGCTTGAAGCCCTGTGGATCCAAGTAGTTCTGATAACCACTGGGCTAATCATTAACCTAGGTTACATTTCAGCCAATTTTAGGGCTAAAATAAATATGCTGTGATAGAACTACCATAGAACTCCCATGTTTGGCTCATGGAAGAGTTTTTTCTTTTGCCTCAAAAATTAAGTGGTTTAACAGACCTACTCCATGGTGACAGAATCTACTACTTCATCGGATTTTTACCCATTCCTTAGGCTATCATGTTTCAGTTCTTGCTTCTTGGGGATGAAATATTGGATAAAATTCATTTACAACCATCTAAATATACTGAAAAGGGTTGGCTGGAGGTTTTTTTTTTTTTTTTTTTGGTTTTTGTTTTTAATTCATGACATGTTACCAGGTGATACCTCTTGCTCCTATAAAATATCTGGAGCAATGCGTTTCAATAGTTTTCTACCTAGAACTACAGTTTAGAGCATAGCAGAACATGTGTGAGCAAAAGTTTAAATGGATGAATAGAGTGACAAAGGCAGCAGCCAGTCCCCTCTACTTGATAGTCCTCTTCCTTAACTTCAACTTGACACATTCATCTAAAGCTATCCAAACCCCATTTAATGATGACACTGTTCAAATCCTCTGACTTTGTTTCATCTCTTATTCATAACCTTTTCAGCACTGGACAGGAGATTTAAAAAAAAAAAAAAAAAGCCATCCAAAATCCACTTCAAGACTATTGTCCAAATGCTCAATCTTTCTTTTATTGATGACTTCAAATATCCACTGACTTCATGGCAGGCACTGAGCTAAGAAATTTACCTGCATCTTACTTGAGGTACTGTGATCTATCGTCTTAGAGATGAGGACATGACATTCAGATTTGAGTGGCTGGCTCAGTCAACAAATAGAGCTGGCAGGGCTGGGACCTTGATGGGGGCTCATGCTCTTAACCTCCAGGACAGTGTTTTTCAGACTGTCAGTTTCTATATTCTAATGTCTAAACTTTTTTTTTTCAGTCAGTCTCAAAAAAACAAAAACTGCATTAACACCTTCTAACGAAGAACTGTGTCAGAAGTCATCACAACTAATGACTCCAAGCTTTACAACTAATAAGCAGAGAAAAGACCTCATAAGTGTGGTTCAGTTCCAGCCACAATCAGATGGCATCCCAGCACTAGGGACGCACAGTGGTTCTGCAGTGGACTTGCTGAAGTCAAGGCAGGAGAGCCTGGGGCCACGTCAGTAACAGTGGCATAGGTACCCAAGCCCTGCTGCCACCATAGTACTTACACCACTCATGTTGGGAGCAGCAACTGGCTTCAGCTAAATAATCATCAGTTCGTGAAGTTTTATACTTCTAAAGAAGCCATAAGCAGAGTCCTACGTTGGTACACATTTCAATAACAACATAATAAAAATAACACTAAAGTTATATGAAAAAAAAGGTTAACGGAACTATACATTTCTTATAGTATTTGGTTTTGTTTTTTGTGACACTGGTATTAAACCCGGCAGTGCTCTGCCACTGAGCCACATCACTTGCCCTGTGTAAGACAGGATCTAAGTTGCCCAGGCTCATCTTGAACTTGTGATCCTCCTGCCTCAGCCTCCTGAGGAGTGGAATCACAGGTATGTACCACAGTGCCTGGCTTCATTTTCCAAGTTTGACACACACTGATTAAGATACTTTGCTTCCCTGAATGCATCACCATTAAATGATGGGGGGGGTGGAGTCGGGGGAGGAAAGCTTTCTGGACTCTAATCCAATTTGGAGAGAGACTACAACTCACTATAACCAGAAGGCAGCTAGGCCAAGAGGAGCTTAAATTTTCACCTTTTCCCTGCCTTCATTTGGGTTTAGCTGGTAGTAAAACAGATCAAACCCCAGAACACACAGTAAAAGATAATAAAGCTATGCAAAGTTTCTAACTTGTAACTAAATGATAAATTTAAAAATTTTAGCATATCTTGAAGCTTTGCCTTTCACTCAAAATAAAGTAAGGGGGAATTCTTCTGTCCCCCAAAAAGCATGTTACATAAGGAAATGGACAAATTAAGAGGAAACTTCCACATTGTCTGGCATGGCTTCCAAGGATTAGAACATCCAGTACAGTTAGACAACAGCTTTTTTTTTTTCATGGTACTAGGGATTAAACTCAGTGGTTGGCCTTGAACTTGTAATCCTCCTGCCTCAGTCTTCCAAGTAGCTGGGTTTACAGACATGCACCACTGTGCCTGGCTAACTTCAGTTTCTTGATCAATGTATGTAGTTCTGCAAAGTTTGTTCACAATTTCACTACCTCCATCTGTGAAAACATGCTGTGCTGCAATTAAACAACTACTTAAATTTGAGAGAAGCAAGACTTTAATGAAGAATGCTACAAGTATGGACAATAATTAGTTCTCATATTTTAAAAAAAGATTACAGAAAACTCTTTCTGAAAGTTTTTGCTAAAAAGACAAATCTTTAAGGATGTCAGAGAGAGACAGCAAGCACGACACAGTACAAAAGGAGAAGGGAATGTTGAATTCCAGTGCAAGACACTAACACAGCACAATTAGGGAATAGGCAGAAGCAACCGGTTCACAAAGAATGGAATTAGGTATTTATATTCAATCAGGATTTTTTTTAAGCTTTTGAAGTCCAGCATAAGGAACGAAACTGAAAAGGGAGGTGGGACTTAGAGGGCTAAGCTTATCTACAATCACCATTTTACCAAGAAAACACACTGGTTCAACCACATGAGAAGTGGCGGATAAACCTGCCAATGTAGCACATATTAAAAGCAAATGCCAAGGCAGTCAGATCTATGGTTGATTTCACAGGTGGCTAAACAGTTTTTAAAATGATTCCACAAGGACTGATCTCTCATCAACCTGGGCTCAAAATCAATGGAGTTCCTTTGCATTTGCATCAGAAGGCCAAAACAACAAGTTCACTCCAGATGATGCTCCTGTTGCTGGATTTAACAGGTCATGAAATCATAAGTGACTCCAACAGACTCCACCATTTCCTAGAAGAAGATTCTACAGATTACTGGGGATTTAAATTTAAGCAAACCACTAAAGAAGGGAAACACTAATGGTATTGTGGCACTGTACAAGCTGTGCCTGTCACCTCTGCCAAGGACACAAGGTAGGCTTGGCTTTGCTTCTTAGTTCTTAGCTCCATGATCTTCAAAAGTAATGAAATGGACCTGGGACCTCCCCCATATTGAAGAAGGTTGCCCACAATTCTCATCCCAGCCCAGCTTCTGAAAGAAACAGCAGGGATTATTATTAGGAACCATGCTCCTGTGAATTCTGGGAAAATGAAAGCCTGCTTCAGTTCATGCCAAGTTTTTTCATGGTCCGCCAGCGATCCTTAATCATCACAGCTGTTCGGTTAACAAACGGATAATTTTTAGAAATGGCAGCCCAGTTTCCTTCCCCGTATTTATGTACTCCAGCCTTGACCCATTCACTTTCTTCCACAGTCCACTTCTGCAAAAGAAAACCAAGAGTTATCAAAGCCTGTCTCTATTCACATGTTCTCCAAAATAGTAATGAGGTAAATTCAAGAATCACAGGAGAGAGCTGGGGGTGTAGATCAATGGCAGATGCTTGCCTAGCATGTAGGATCTTGGTTGATCCAGAGAGAATAATCTGAACCTAAAAGGAGGGTTTTGTTTTTTTTTTTTTCTCTCCCTTTTGGTACCAGTGATTGAATTCAGGGGCACTTAATCATTGAGCCACTTCCCCAGCCCTTATTTTGAGACAGAGTCTCCCTGAGTTGTTTAGGGTCTTGCTAAGTTGCTAAGATGGCTTTAAACTTGTGATCCTCCTGCCTCAGCTTCCCCAGCCACTGGGATCACAGGTGTGTACCACTGGGCCCAGTTATGTTCTTAAAACATGGTAAAGATAGTAAATGAACGCTACAGATTGGACATTTGGTAAATTTCCTGCCATCTCGTTCTCGACTAATAATCATTTCTGTTTTCCAAACTTCAAAAATGTATGTGATCCAGAAAGTATGTCAGACTCTCCAAATTATTTTTCTAGAGAGTAACTATTGTCCATTGGCAATCCTTCTTTGAATTATCTCAAAAAAAAAAAAAAAAAACTTTTACCAGAGGCATGGGTAGTTGAGGCCTATAAGAAGGGGAATTATTTTACCTCTTTTCTAATCACGAAATTTGTATCAGAGAATTTTAAATTACCTGCTTTTTTGTTATACCGGTTGCACTATCTTCCTCTGGTACTGCTGGAAAACATTAAAAGTAGACTCAAGTTAGAGTTCACCTTTCTCTGCACAAACCACAAGAAGAAAACAAGTGTCCCCATAGGGAACACTTGATTCAAATTTCACAAACATTGAGAAAGAAAGGACACCACTAAATGATAATTTATTCTTGTCCTTTGCAAACATTAGTAATTTCAGCCCATGAGAATCTGTTACAAATCAAGTGCTTTACAAACAGTCTTCCAATAAATGTTGGTTAATGATGGAGTTCAGCCTTTTTAAATTAAGACTATCATTGTTTAAAATTATTGAGGGAAAATCATACATAATACCTTAATGTATCATATATACATATATAATTTTCTAGTTTATAACGCTTTGCTAACCGCTGCTTTGAAATAACAGTTTTACTATTTTATGCCCAAATTTTCAAGTCCTTGATCCTCCCATGAAAAAGAGGTCAGACATCAAAAAAAAAAAAAAAAAAAAATGCACCAAGATGATTTTTTTTTAAAGGTCAGAGAGCGATAGGAGGGTATAAAAGTATAAACCACAGGACATTTCAGGCAATGGGAGGCCAAAGAAAAGCTTCAAGAAGAGACAATTCTGTATGAACATGAAACTTGCCAGAGTGGGTGCTTTAGCAGATGTCACTATCCTAAATAACAGAGGTAAACAAAAGGATACTTACAGGACAGACTATTTATAAGGGAAAAAAACCTTCATAATTATAAAGTATACAACAGTGGAAGCAGATTTCTAAAACT